GTGGGGGGTCCCGAAACAAAACAGGATTTCCTTCTAGCGAACAAAATAAAATATTTTAGATCTTTTATATAAAATGTATGTAGTATACATACACGTGTATTCTCACAGCTGAGAAGAGCGTTGACGGCTGACAATAGTGACATTATATGTCATGGCTTCACGAATGGTAAGTGACATTGATTGGAGTGAGGTCAAAAAGCAAAATTTCCCCGTGTTCTGGTACATAGGTGGTCACACCTGAAAAATTAAAGATTGGAGTCAAACTCATTTTCTCTCTTGTTAGTCCTGGTGGCAAAGTTCTGTTTCAACTATATAATAATATATTTCTATAACAATTTAAAACGTTTCTCCCATTACAAATCCTAAATTTGAAATTGATTTGAGAGAGAGAGAGAGAGAGAGAGAGAGAGAGAGAGAGAGAGGGGAGAGAGAGAGAGGGAGAGAGAGAGGGAGAGAGAGAGAGAGAGAGAGAGAGGGGGGGGGAGAGAGAGAGAGAGAGAGAGAGAGAGAGAGAGAGAGAGAGAGAGAGAGAGAGAGAGAGATTTGGATAGTAAGTTCAACAGGAATTAAAAAATTTGTTCTATTTTTAGCCATCAAGGGTAACAGTAATATCAGCTCATTGCCATCATTGTCGTTGTGCCGTCTTTATTATTAACAGTATCATCATTGACATACAATGAACATGTGTCTATGTATTATTATTGTCTTCATTATTAAAGTCAAGCTATTGTTGTTTTCGAATTATTCATATTCAACTCAATTTAGATCTATTAAGCTGAATGATATCGATGATTTCAAATAATGATACATGCATTAGTATTAGTATTAGACCACTATACTCACCGCACAGTAGATCTGCCTTTGACGGCAGACTTGAGATTTTCCAGTAGGTTGAGGAGTTTCCACTGAGGCCGTTGATACTTTCGATGGAGTAGCCGAGGTTTTGATAGTAAGTGGCTGTGAAACTGGAAGGCAAAATGACAAGTAAATTAAATTTCACGTAGTAATTTTGTTACAGAGTTGGTGACGTTTTCATTCTTTTCCGCTTACGTGTCTGTGGCGTCGGTGGTCAAGTGGTCAGGCTGTTGGGCTGGCAACCAAAAAGTCGTGGGTTCGAACCCCGCCAGGTGTCCCACGTTGAGTCCTTAACAAAGGCACTTTTCACGAATGTTCCCTATGGGTTCTCGGCTATAGGCCGCGGAAGATCTTGTCAGTTTGCTAGTGTTTGAACTTTTCACTGGCCTCTTGCAGTTTAGTATTATGCTTCACGGGAAGCGGAGAATGATAACGAGTGTTAGTCTAGTAGTAGTAGTAGTAGTAGTAGTAGTAGTAGTAGTAGTAGTAGTAGTAGTAGCAGAAGTAGGAGTAGTAGTAGTAGTAGGAGGAGCAGCAGCAGCAGCAGCAGCAAAGACGCATGTAGTGCTCTGTCTAACAAGGAGCAAAAGTTTGTTTCTCTGTAGAGCTTGTGATTTAGATGAAATCGTGCTTGTACAATTAAACCTGTATACAGTACATTAGGTTACCCAGGATCAAGGATCTACCTCTGCATCGTTTAACTTCAATTTTGCCTGCGAGACCTATATGTCCAAGGCTGTTATGTCTGTTCAAGTGTCACAAAAACTGCACTTGTCTTTATCAGTAAGAGGCACACGTGGGCTTCTTCAAGTAATCTAATACCTCATTTAATTTCTTTTCTTCCTAGAATTTCTCAGCAGTCTCTTAAGAAACCATATTTTATCTGTTGTTTCTATTTCATTTTTACCTAAGAATGTAATGAGACATAAATCAATAACTAACGTTTCATGCCTCAATGGGTAGGACTACAGTCCAGTACGTACAATAATGTATTTTTCATGTAACATGGTCGCAATATCTTTGGAATTTAATTGAGAAAGAAAGGTAAGGAAAGTTTGAGGCAAAAAGAAGAGAGAATGAATATAGTAATATTCCTGAGAGAGAGGGGGAGAAAGAGAGAGAGAGAGAGAGAGAGAGAGAGAGAGAGAGAGAGAGAGAGAGAGAGAGAGAGAGAGAGAGAGAGAGCGAGAGTGAGAGAGAGAGGGGGGGGGGCACAGAGACACTGGGGACTGGGGGAAGAGATATTTGAGTACGAATGCGTTCAATAATTATTTACAATAGAATCTATATTTTTCAAAATAGGTGAAACAAAAAAGAAAAAGGGGGGTTTTTTTTTTTTGAGGGGGGGGGGGGGGGGGGGGGGGG